TACTGTGTGTGTACTGTGTATGTGTACTCTGTGTACTGTGTGTGTACTGTGTATGTGTACTATGTGTACTGTGTGTGTACTGTGTATGTGTACTATGTGTACTGTGTGTACTGTGTATGTGTACTATGTGTACTGTGTGTGTACTGTGCATGTGTACTGTGTGTGTACTGTGTGTGTACTGTGTGTACTGTGTGTATGTGTACTGTGCATGTGTACTGTGTGTGTACTGTGTATACTGTGTGTGTACTGTATATACTGTGTGTATACTGTGTGTGTACTGTGTGTATACTGTGTGTGTACTGTGTGTATGTGTACAGTGTGTACTGTGTGTATGTGTGCTGTGTGTATACTGTGTGTGTACTGTGTGTATACTGTGTGTGTACTGTGTGTATGTGTACTGTGTATACTGTGTGTGTACTGTGTGTATACTGTGTGTGTACTGTGTGTGGACTGTGTATGTGTACTGTGTGCATGTGTACTGTGTGTGTACTGTGAGTGTGTTTACTGTGTGTATGTGTACTGTCTGTACTGTGTGTACTGTGTATGTGTACCGTGTATACTGTGTGTGTACTGTGTGTATGTGTACTGTGTATACTGTGTGTGTACTGTGTACTGTGTATGTGTACTGTGTGTGTACTGTGTGCGCTACTCGACAGGCAGCTGTCTCCTCGTGCGATTTCGCTTCGTGCGCCCTTTTTTTAGGAACACATCTACTACCACTCCTAGCGAATACTCGGGTTGTATGTGCATGCACGTGTGTGTGTGTGTTCATGTGCATGTGTTCGTGTATTTATGTGTTCGTGTATTTGTGTGTTGGGGAGCGGTGGTGTAGTGGTTAGCTGCGCTGCACTACGAACCCGGCGACCCGAGTTCGCTTCCCACTCACGGCCAACACCGGTACGGATTAAATATCCGTATCGGTCCTGGGCCACCCCTAGGTCGACTCGGCCTCAAACGAGTGCCTGATGCGGTGTGTAAACATCGCCGCTTGTGTTCATAGTTGCCGCTCGCTTAACACCACTTGCTCCTACAGTCTGTCAAGGCTATACGGGGAGGGAGATCTTTGTCTTTGTTATGCCGGTCATCTCGGTCAGTCGACCCACGGGGCACCCTGGACAGCGTTAGTTGTTGTTGTTGTTTGTTGTTGCAGGTGGCGGTGTGCGGTGAGCTCACCGCTCTACGAGAACCCGGCCACCGATGCTCGATTCCCGTCCGCGGCTAACGTCGGCTGCGAGTGATATCTGAAACGCACCTGGGCCTCCTCCAAGTCGACTCAGCCTTAAACTGTCAACATCTGCTGCGTTTCTTTCACTGTTTGCTATTTTATTTGACCACGTAAAGGCGCACAGAGCACGCGGGAGGAAACCGGAGCACCTGGAGAGAAGGGGGAACAAAAAAAAACCCCTACACGTGCGAGGGGGCAACACTCTATCCCGTACGGATGGAACAGGTGGAGTGCACATCGTTGCTGCGCTGCATTCTCCTGGCGAGCGAGGGTTTATGGCTCCTCGACGCCCACGGGAACATCTGTGCGATGATCCACCAACCCCCGCCGCTGCCTCCACAGTTGATGGGTTGCAGTCCACGCGGCTGACCACACCACTGCGATATTTGCTATGAACGATTTTTTTTTTATTTAGATTTTTACCAGGTGTGGTATATCAGAGGCGATCAGGCCACAAAATGATAGCTGAACGAATTGGCTCATCAAGTGGAAATCTATAGCGGTCAAAAACTCTAAAGGCGTGACGTCCATTCTAAATGTGGAATGGAAAAAAAAAACCTGCAGGACCCGGGGAGAAATCCCCGCTACCACGGTGAGAAATCGCAAACTCCAAATATACAGCAGGCGTCAGGGTCGGGATCGATCCCATGATCTCCTGTATACCAGGCGAGGTAGTTAACATTTCTCCACCGTGATGATGATGGTGAGAGCGAGAGACACGCAATCTCCAAATATACAGCAGGCGTCAGGGTCGGGATCGATCCCATGATCTCCTGTATACCAGGCGAGGTAGCTAACATTTCTCCACCGTGATGATGATGATGGTGAGAGCGAGAGACACGCAAACTCCAAATATACAGCAGGCGTCAGGGTCGGGATCGATCCCATGATCTCCTGTATACCAGGCGAGGTAGCTAACATTTCTCCACCGTGATGATGATGGTGAGAGCGAGAGACACGCAAACTCCAAATATACAGCAGGCGTCAGGGTCGGGATCAATCCCATGATCTCCTGTATACCAGGCGAGGTAGCTAACATTTCTCCACCTTGATGATGGTGAGAGCGAGAGACACGCAAACTCCAAATATACAGCAGGCGTCAGGGTCGGGATCGATCCCGTAATCTCCTGTATACCATGCGAGGTAGCTAACATTTCTCCACCGTGATGATGATGGTGAGAGCGAGAGACACGCAAACTCCAAATATACAGCAGGCGTCAGGGTCGGGATCGATCCCATGATCTCCTGTATACCAGACGAGGTAGTTAACATTTCTCCACCGTGATGATGATGGTGAGAGCGAGAGACACGCAATCTCCGAATATACAGCAGGCTTCAGGGTCGGGATCGAACCCACGACTTACTGTATACCAGGCGAGGTAATTAACATATCCTATCCAACCGTGATGATGATGAGAGAGAGAGAGACACGCAAACTCAAAATATACAGCAGGCGTCAGGGTCAGGATCGATCCCACGACCTCCTGCATACCAGGCGAGGCAGTTAACATCTCGCCACCGTGGCGCCCCTGTAAGCATCAGGTTTTAAACATCGACAACTAGGGAGAGACAAAGGCGGCTGGGTGTGGTGCCAGCCAAACCCCCACCTCGGGCGCTGTACCAGACATCATCGGCTTTTGGCTAACGGCACTTGCCCCAACAGTCTATAAAGGCCCTACGGGGGACTTTTGTATTTGTTTTGTCTGTGCGAATGAATGGCGTGGGTGGCTGTCCGAGCAACGGTACCCTCACCCCACCTCCAATTAAAAAATAAAATCCCCCACAGAATTAAAGCCCTTGGTGTCACTCCACTGCTGGATGAGTGCCTCTCCACGCGCGTCGGTCCATGCGGATTGTTTGACCATACTTCACCCGGTGCGGTGTGTGAACATCGCCAGTGGGGAGACAAAGGCGGCCGGGCGTGGTTCCGGTTCACCCAATACCTCTCGTGTGCCGTGCCGGAATTCATAGGTGCTCGCAAACAGCACTTGTTAAAGGCTATATGGGGGATATTTGTCTTTGATCGTATGTTTGTCTGTGTGTGTATGCGTCTGTGTTTGAATTGGCCGTGTCAACATTCACCTTCCTGTGTGTCTGTCTGTCTGTGCATTTTACTTCATCTGTCTGTGCCTGTACGTGTCTCTGTGTCGTTTCCATAACACAGAGCCCCATGAACACAAATGAATTCATATGAATACACAGACACGCACAAGCGCCTCCGATTAGCAGGGATGGCTTACACACGGTGATAACGAAATTCAACATACATACAATATAGGCTGCCTCCGATTGAGAGTGGTGTGTGCGAGTCTGTCTGTCTCGCCATATATCGATCTCTCTCTCTGTCTCTCTGTGCGCTTCTGTGTGCGTGTTGAACTTTTTTCGCGCCGTACGTAGCCAAACCTGTGGATGTCTATCTGTGCGCGGTCGCCTCGCTATCTCTTGCGTGTCAACACGGGCCGGAGAACTCCTATCCAGCAGTGGATTAGACACCAACATGTCATTGAGCACCACGCTCGATCGGTGTGCGTGTCCATGACCCACGCGCGTCTTTGTCTCTCTCTCGTCGGGTAGAGCAGTGGTCCTTGACCTTCACTGCGGCCTTGCACCCACTTTGATTCTCAATCATAATTATTTTTTATTATTATAATGTTAATAAATACGCAGGGGTTTGACTAAACAAAGTAAGTTGTTACTTAACGTGACCGTGCTTCGTTTGTGTTGTCGATTATTTAACCTCCAATAAAATCTGGCCAACGTCTCGCACCCCCACAAAGGGCATCTCGCACCCCCAGGGAGTGCGTGCACCCCCAAGGGATTCGTGCACCCCCAGGGGATTCGCGCACCCCCAGGTGATGCACGCACCCCCAGGTGATGCACGCACCCCCAGGTGATGCACGCACCCCCAGGGGATGCGCGCACCCCCAGGGGATGCGCGCACCCCCAGGTGATGCGCGCACCCCCAGGTGATGCACGCACCCCCAGGTGATGCACGCACCCCCAGGTGATGCACGCACCCCCAGAGTGATGCACCACTGCTGTAGAGCGCTCTGCGTGTGCTAAGAACCCAGCCAGCCGAGTTCGATTCCCGCTCACGGCCACCAACACCACCAGTGGCGACGATTATCTGAAACGGTCCCGGAGCCTCCCCTAGGTCGACTCGGCCCCAAAGCAGTAGCCGGTGCCGCGGCGGTGTGTAAACATCGTCACCGGGGAGACAAAGGCGGCCGGGCATGGTGCTGGCGACCTACTCACCCCCCGTGTGTCGTGCCGGCCTTCGTAGGTGCTGCTCGCTCAACAGCACTTGCCCCAACAGTCTGTTAAAGCTACATGGGGGATCTTTGCCTTTGTTTTGTCACTTCCCAAGGGGGGGGGGGGGGGTATAGGGAGAGGGGAGACCACAGGGAGCGGATCTCGAAACTTCCCAAGGAGGAGGAGGGGGGGGGGGCAGGCAGTCCCTAAAACCCCAAGATGTATAAATATGGCCCTACATATTGTATTTACTTTGATAAGTATCAATACATAGCGTACTCATGTCGGGGTCTTAAAGGTGGATGGGTGGGTGGGGACACTCCCACAGCTCTCCCCCCCCCCAAACCCACCCATCCAGCAGTGGATCCAAGCGGAGAGTGGAAGAGAGGATGGGAGGTGGTGGAACAATCTCCCACCACCCCCTCCTCCACCACCACCCCACCTTTGATAACACCGCTGTCAAAACAACCACCGCCACCGCCGCCGCCGCCACCCACCCATCCCGCAGTGGACCGCAACTCGCCTGAGGTTGAGCGTGGTGAGCGAGTGCAGCGGGGGCACCGCGTCTCGGGCGAAAGCGCCGCCCGCCCCGAGGCTGCTCACGACGTTGCCCGTCAGGAACAGAGTGCGCGTGTACCCGGGCAGCCCGCGCGGCGGCTCGGTGAGCTCCCGTGCCACGCACTTGACGGTCCGAGCCTGCTCCGAGCATTCGCACGCGGCCGGGCACGCCGGGGAGAGGTGGGTGGGCTGTGCGGCGGAGGCCTCGGCGGACAACGAGGAGGAGGAGGAGGATGCTGATGATGATGATGCTGCTGCTGCTGCTGCGTTACAACCGCGCGCTCCGTTCACGAGCAGGAGGAAGAGCAGCGGCGGCGGCAGGAGAAGGAGAGTCGTTGTCCTGGGCGATACTTCGCCGTGTGATCTCCGTCTGCCCTTCCTTGTATTCGTCGTCTTCATCATCATCATCATCATCCTCGTCGTCGTCCTCGTCGCCGTTAGCATCGTTGGGTTGATTGGAGGAGGAGGAGGAGGTGGTGGTGGTGGTGGCGTGTGGGTCAGTCCGTTGGCTGAACTACGCTCGACTTGGCGAGCCGGGGGTGGGAGGGGAGTTGCGTGGAGAGGAGAGGGCGCGAGCGAGTCAGCGAGGATGGCTCTCACCCCCGCGGAGTCGAGAGAGACGCGCGGCGAGGCACAAAGGCGGCGTGGCTCGCAGCGTCTCGGGGAGTTCCCGTGGATGGGCAGCAACGGAAGCCGCCGCCGCCGCCGCGGAATCGCGCAGAGACGGAACACGCAGCACCTTCCTCCTGTGCCGAGAGCAGGGCGAAGAGAACTGCTGCCCCCCCCTCCCTCCCTCGCCCCCTCCCCTCCCTCCCTCGCCCCCTCCCCTCTTCCGCTCTCGCCCTCTCACTCACGCGCCCTTTCTCCCTCCCTCTCCCTATCTCAGCACCCCCCTCCCCTTCACTACGCTCGTGCTCCCTCTCCCCACCCTCTCGCTCCCTCTCACCACCCCCTCGCTTACTCTCTCCACTCTCTCTCACCACCCCCTCGCTTACTCTCTCCACTCCCTCTCACCACCCCCTCGCTTACTCTCTCCACTCCCACTCACCACCCCCTCGCTTACTCTCCACTCCCTCTCACCACCCCCTCGCTTACTCTCCACTCCCTCTCACCACCCCCTCGCTTACTCTCCACTCTCCCTCACCACCCCCTCGCTTACTCTCCACTCCCTCTCACCACCCCCTCGCTTACTCTCCACTCCCTCTCACCACCCCCTCGCTTACTCTCCACTCCCTCTCACCACCCCCTCGCTTACTCTCTCCTCTCTCTCACCACCCCCTCGCTTACTCTCTCCCCTCCCTCTCACCACCCCCTCGCTTACTCTCCACTCCCTCTCACCACCCCCTCGTTTACTCTCCCCGCTCTCTCTCTCCCTCCTTCCCTCTCTTTTTTACGATCACAGGAAACAAGAAGATGCTCGGTGTAGTCGGCACTTTGCTTCGTTCATCATTTCGTTGTTTTAATGCTTTGCTTTATGTAACCCCCCCCCCTCCCATCTCTTGCGCCCCCCCCCCTCTCTCTACCGCTACGTGTCCCTCGCTCACCCTTTACCCCCCCCCCCCCACACACTGCTCCCTCAACCCCCCACCGCTCCCTCTACCCCACACTATATTTTACTCTCTAATTACGATCCACCTCTCACTCCGTCTTTCTCCATCTCGTCCACCCTCCACCCCTAATCACCCTCTGAACATCTTGTCTCCTTTCATCTGACTTTCTCACTCTCTCTCTCTCTCTCCCCCTGTCTCTCTCGCTCCCTCGTGCCCCCTCTCACTGCGACTCTCCGAGCGCCCTGCCTCGTCTCTCCCCTTCTCCCCCTCCTCCTCACCCCCTCCCACCCCTCCTCCTCCTCCCACCCCTCCTCCTCCTCCACCCCTCCTCCTCCCACCCCTCCTCCTCCTCCCACCCCTCCTCCCACCCCTCCTCCTCCCCCTCCTCCGCCTCCTCCTCTCCCCTCTCCTCCGCCTCCTCCTCCTCCCCCTCCTCCTCACCCCCTCCCACCCCTCCTCTCCTCCTCCTCCCACCCCTCCTACTCCTCCCCCTCCTCCGCCTCCTCCTCTCCCCCCTCCTCCGCCTCCTCCTCTCCCCTCTCCTCCGCCTCCTCCTCCTCTCCCCCTCCTCTTCCTCCCCCTCCTCCTCCCCCTCCGCCCCTTCCCCCCCCTCCGCCCCCTCCCCCTCCTCCCCTGCTCTTTAACTCTCACAGTCTTCTACTCCCAAACCCTCCAACATCTCCCCCCCCCCCCCCCCTTTCACAGAGTCTCCGACTTATCGTCCTCCCTCTCGCCCGTCTCTCTCCCTCCCTCTCTTTTCACACCACTGCAAAAGATTTCCTCTCATTTGCATTTGTGTAGCGGCGATGCACAAAGGCACAGGTCCCCCGTATAGAATCTAACAGGCTGCTGGGGCAAGTGCTGTTATAGCGAGCACATGCGAAGGCTGGGTGGGTGTGCGTAGCCAGCACAACGCCCGTCCGCCTTTGTCTCCCCAGCGCTGATGTTTTCACACCGCGCAAGGCGCTCGCTTACAAATATTCTCCACTGCTGTTGGCAGTGAGCGGGAATCGATGTCGGGTCGGCGGCTTCGTAGCGATCTCCCAAACACGAGCAGCCGCAATTGGCAACTCAATGGCGGTGAGGTCATCACGGCGCTTGTGCCAGGCTAGGTGCACCTCGAGGCCACGTGAAGTGTGGAAGTGCTCGCTGCTGACAGGAGGCTAACGGGCAGACACGGGTGTCGTTGGTGGACTAGTCTGATGACTTGGCGTTTAGACAACGCGGGCGCTCCCACTGTGCCAACTCGCTGCGTTTTATACCGCCAGGCGCTCCGCTCGTTGTTGTGAGCGTCGCTCCTCCGCCCTCGGTCGTTGCTGAAAGGCGACTGCCCCCAACTGTCCAGTAGCAGCAGCAGCGTCCTTCACGAGCCTCCTACTCCACAGAAGTCGATCTGGGCGACGGTGGTGTCGGTCATCGGCAAGTCCACTCAGCTCCACATCCTCCCGTATCGCATCAGCCCATCTCATCTCCAGTCCGTGCCGGGCCCGTTTAGCCCCCCTCTATCCGACCAAACTGCAGCTGCTTGGGCATGCGGTGGCTGGGCATGCGGGCTACGTGACCTCACCAACTCAGCCTTGACGAACGGAGGAGCTCACTGATGTCAATTTCTCTCAAGGATCTGCGAACCGAACTTCGCACAGGGATGAATGGATCCGCAGGGGAGGCGAACGTGAATGTGTTCGACCGGGCTCATACGCGCCTTCATAGTGGCGCCTCCACGTTTCGCAAAGGCAGGGAAGGGAGGCCGAGAAGACACGGAGCTTGGAGCGACATGCCACGTGTCTTCCAAGGCGGCCTTACGCATCTGATGAAAAGACAAATGCAGCGCCACTGATTCGGAGTGAGACCTCCGCTTCCAAAGCGGAACTGGTCACGAGCACACTGCCCTGGTATGGGAACTCCTTCCCACACGCAAAGATAAAGATCCCCCATGTAGCCTTTTGACAGAGGGGCAAGTGCTGTTTAGCACAAATACAAAGATCCCACATATAGCATGGACAGACTGTTGGGGCAAGTGCTGTCAGCGAGCACCTATGAAGGCCGAGTGGCGATATTTTTACACATCGTACCAGGTACTCATTTGAGACTGAGTCGAGCTAGCGGAGGTCCAGGATCGGTTCAGACCACCGTCACTGGTGTCGGCCGTGAGCAGGAATCGAACTCATTTCGCCGGGTTCGTAGCGCAGCGCGCTAACCGCTACGCCACCGTTCCCCAATGTTCGCGCGCACACACTGACACAGTCATTAACACACACAAACACTGACACGAACATTGACACACGCACTGACACACGCACACATTGACACACACATTGACACGCACATTGACACATGCACTAACACACACGCTAACACACATTGACACACACACACACACATTGACACACACACTGACACGTACACACTGACATACACACAGGCACACACATTGACACACGCATTGACACGCACACTCACACACGCACACTCACACACGCACATACTTGTAACCGTAACCAAATATAACCTTGCAATAAGCAGTCAGTCCAACAGGAGGGTTTAATTTCTGTAATTAATGTGCTGGGATCCTTTACGTGTTAATTAGTCGTTGCAATATATTTATAACCAAATTACGCGGCGATGCCACTGCTGCTGCTTGCGTTGGCAGTAGTGCACAAGCACAATTAAAAACAATAAAAACAACGACAAACTAAATTTCGATTTAAAGCTTTCGTGACTGCAATGATTCCTCTTCTTTGGTTCTTTCGGTAAAGTCACCACCACGTAGAATGAGAATAAAATAATAAATTGATAAAATAAAATAACACAATAATATTCTCACGACGTTTCGGCCACAACACAAGCGGCCTTCATCAAGTGAAGGGACGAGACTGTCTGGTAGGACAGCGCTGGAGTGAAAGAGCCACGTTCAGATCACAAGTTGAGGCTTAAAGGTCGTGATCTGAACGTGGCTCTTTCACTCCAGCGCTGTCCTACCAGACAGTCTCGTCCCTTCACCTGATGAAGGCCGCATGTGTTGTGACCGAAACGTCGTGAGAATATAATTGTGTTATTTTATTTTATCAATTTCTTATTTTATTCTCATTCTACGTTACTTTACCGAAAGAACCAAAGAAAACGACAAACTACTCAACATATTCGTCAACAACAGCGTGGCCTTAAAAGAAACATGTTTATTATAGTGCGACGTTTCGGGCAAGAGTCCTTTCCGCTTTATGTGCTGATCATCATAATCAGCATTATCATCATCAGCAACAGCATTATCATCAGCAGCAGGATTATCAGCATTATCATTAGCAGCAGCATTATCATCATTATCATGATTATCATCATCATCAACATTATCATAATTATCATCATCAGCATTATCATCAGCAGCATTATCATCATGATTATCATCAATGTAATTATCATCATCATTATCATCAACAATTAATCTTCCTGTCTTGCACATTCTACCCCGACCTCACTAACCGGCGCTGACCGGCGTGGTGAAGTATGGTCAAACAAATCCCCATGACGGACACCAGACCATCATGGCCTTCATCCAGCAGTGGATTAACAAAAGATCTGTACATTATAACACATTCTTATCATCGGCCATGATCAGTTCACTGCTGGATGAATGCCTCCTCCATACCGCAGTCGTAGTACTGTTTTATTATTATTGAGTCGGAGTAGTTTCAGCATTAATTATGAAATGAATCAAGGGCCATTGCCCGAAACGTCAAACAATATATATGTTTGTAAGACCACACAGTGTTATTGACGAATGCATCGAGTTTTTCGAGTATTAATTATGTAATACTCCCCCCACACACCCCACCCACTCATATTAAATAATTAATAACCAAATAATATTGATGGATGAATTACATTACCAGGAGGTGTGTAATTTGAGTTCGCGTTTGAGACCGAACTCGGGGCTGGACAAACCTTCTCCTAGGCTGCTGTTGCTGCTGTGTGTCCCCTACGTGACTCTTCGCAAGGAAGAAAAAAAAAACTCCCCCAGGTTATTAAAACGTGATCTTTTTTCTGTGCGAATTATATTTGCAGCCCGGTTTAAAACAACAAAAAAAAGCTGAAAGCGCAGCCATGCAATTTCTTCACTCACGCTACTGCTGGCAGAAGCTCATCTCCCTGCAACCCAGGGCCCACGCCAACCACGCTAGTCCACTGAGCCCAAGGTGAACAGGTAAAGGCGCAGCCATGCAATTTCCTCACTCACGCCACTGCTGGCGGGAGTGGCCTACACTTGAG